AATTTCACATCTTTGAAAAAAAATGTAATTAAGAGCGATATCGACATATTGATCGCAACGATATTGTTCGCGACGAACAGAACGAAAGAAAATATTCTGCGACGAATTGAACGCGATGAATTGATCGGTCACCTACGATTCAACTGTGATCATGATATCAAAAGACCAGGACCAACATTCCACGAACGATGTACTAAAAGTCCATTTCTTTGATACTCGAAATCAAAATAATCCGATATCTGTTTTATCTTACACGTTATTTCTTTTTTACGATCAATATTATCAATCTAACAATCAAGCGCAAAAACGACTTTCACTTCTTTGTGCGAGTGGCATGCTTCGACAAACTCAGAAGCACATGTTACATTATGATTTTCATTCAAATATTGGCATATATTTGACTTAATAACAGCAGCATAATGGTGACAAGGGTCTTTGCCACCTTGTGGATCGCAAAAATCAATGCTTCTAATTGCAATGCTTGCCTTTTCCAATATTTGTTTGGGCGACACAAGTGTGTTTACCGAATGATAGCAATCTGCGTTGTCTGATCGGATAAACGCTTTTTCTGTCTGTGGATCAGTTTTCTTGATACGGCATAAAATGTCGTTCAAGGTAGCGAGGATCATTTCACTGTCCTGCGTACACTAATCGAAAACATGTACGAAGACCTTATAATTACAAGAATTCGTCTCTTTTTGATGATTGGTACTGTAATCATCTTCATTTTCTTGAAATAAATCAGTCATTTCATGTTCATTGACTTGTTGGCTATCATCTGAGAAATCATTCTTTTGGTCGTAATAGTTGCTATTACTTTCTACAATCACATGTTTTTTGCATAACAACAGTGATATGCCAACTGATGCCTTGTTTATCAAAAAATTCTGACTGTGGTTCTCAACTTTTGATGGGAAGAAATTTCATGGCTCAATCGAGATTGAGATAAATCTCATTATTGTGTAGTCGTTCAAACATGTACTCTCGACACAAATCTTGATTGATAGTTCTCAATAAGTGAACTTTCCATTCTTCAATAGGTTCATAATACGATCGGTATTTTTCAAAGCTCGATCCAATAAGTCTTCTTTCGTTTCGGTTTTCGCGATTAGTCGTTCAATTTCATTCAGAGTGCTCGTTAGATTCTAACACTTAACACACGATTCATCGTGTTCATGATCATAGCCTTGGCCAAAATGACGCTGTTTTGGATCGCTCAATATATAAATGGAGCAATCATCAGCGACATTACTCGATCTCGTTACGTACACTTTATAATCAGATTTCAAATAAAATCAAGCATGTTTTAAATTCTCAATAAATCGATCACTCTCAGTACATAGCATAGCGTTTTCTTTATTCATTTTTCCTGTATCGTCAAATGCTTCTCCAGCTTCAGCTACAAAGTAGTTGATACCTTGCGAAGACTTTCTTGCTGATGCTTTACATGTTTCGAAAATAGTAAATAGGCTACTCTTACCAAGTGATTCGAAATGCGAACACATCTCATTACAGTAAACAAGATACTAATCAATAATATGAATTGGTCCCATGTTACTTATCATATTTGGAATGTACAGTTCAATTCCTGACGACAGTTTCAAAACTTGTTCAGCACAAGGCAAATCTATACACACATGAGGCGAAACAATTAAGTCAACAAAGTGAGCGATTTGATGATCATCAAATCGTTGCAGAACCTTTGGAATTGTGTCTACTCTCGAATCGACACCATATTTGGCAGCATGCAAACATGCAACAGAAAATCTGTAACTAGTTAAACCTGGTATGAAGAACTGCATGAGCTTTAACGATATTTTCGATGGAACAATTGAAAGTAAATGGTGATCCAAAGTTTTCGACGCCTCTCAGTAAATCGATGATATCTATAACAAACTTATGTGAAGTTATTGATCAAATCATATCATTTTGCAGAGGAAGATTAGAGCTATCATCTGGAAAAAAATAGTTCAAAATACGTAACTTTATTACAATCTTATGGTCATTTGACTAATCTTGAGTGAACACTTTTGCGTTACATTTTTTGAAATAATCAAAGAAATTTTTAATGTTTGAGTCGTTATAGTCGAACCAAATATTATTTTCTACATGTTTTTAATAGACATTTTTTTATAGTTCGATAGAGGTCAAAAAGCATTAGAAAAATGTGAATATCAAGAAAAATTCGAATCCTGTTTTCAACATAAAACTCGAATGATACCACGCACACTAATAAAAATCTTGCATAGCTTTCATGCGATAGTGTGCTTAAGTCCCAAAGACTTTAGCTGATCGACTGTTAATTGATGTTTCGAGATGCAGGGTTACACACTGAAGCAGAAAATAACTCTTCTGAGCTACCTGAATACATGGAACAGTCAACCAGCTCAAACTTTTGAAAGATCAACCTACTCTCTAATATTTTATATATGAAATTGTTCTTAGTTTTTCTGGTTTCCTTTAAGATTCATATTCAAAATAAGATCAAAAGCTTTGTAAACATAAATATTCTTGTAGAGCTTATCGAACTCTCTCGAATCGTGGAAAAATGTCTAGAAAACAGAATGTCACTTAAGAGTGATTCTCTGAGAAAATCAGTCACTATCAGACATCGACGATGGAGCGACATTCCAGAATTCGCTGATTCTTTGATATGTTATAGAGGATATCGAGTTATGTATGTCTTAAAATTTTCAGCTCTATCCGACAAGTTTTGATATCGAAATGACTTAAAAAATGGACTGGATTTTTTTACTATTTTTTCTCATTTTCAGCTGTTTTTGCCAGAATGTCGAGTCACCGCTTTCGATGCGCCAACAATGGATCGATCTAATATTTTTATCTATGAAAGAGCTCATCGAACTCTATCGACTAGGATATTTTTCCTTTTTGGCCCATGAAAAAAAAATTTTCTGAAAATTACCCAGAAACGTGACTAGAGGATCAACATAATTCAACACTAATCATCGCGCTATATTGACGCTTCTAGGGAATTTCGAGAAAATTTTTTTTTCATGGGCCAAAAAGGAAAAATATCCTAGTCGATAGAGTTCGATGAGCTCTTTCATAGATAAAAATATTAGATCGATCCATTGTTGGCGCATCGAAAGCGGTGACTCGACATTCTGGCAAAAACAGCTGAAAATGAGAAAAAATAGTAAAAAAATCCAGTCCATTTTTTAAGTCATTTCGATATCAAAACTTGTCGGATAGAGCTGAAAATTTCAAGATATACATAAATCGATGTCCTCTATAACATATAAAAGAATCAGCAAATTCTGGAATGTCGCTCCATCGTCGGTGTCTGAGTCTCTCAGAGAATCACTCTTAAGATGTTACAAACGTATTTTGTTTATTTCAAAAAATGTAACGTAAAAATTTTCTCTCAAGATTGGTAAAATGACCATAAGATTTTAATAGATTTAGGTATTTCGAACTATTGTTTTTTAGCTGATAGCTCTAATCTTCCTCTATAAAATGACATAATTTGATCAATAACTTCATATAGGTTTGTTATAGATATCATCGATTTACTGATAGGGGTCGACATGTTTGGATCACCCTTTAGATCTCATCTCATTTGCCATGATTCAGCATTGGTATATGCTTCTGAAATATCACTCACTATTAGACGAAAATTTTCATCTAAATCAATGTTCAATTCTTCAGTATTTACGTTGCTAAATGAGTCGTACATACGTATGTCAGCATCACTCGATGCCATCAACAATGTAGTTGATCGCGCTATGAATTTTACCAAATTTACATATCTCAGAAAAGGCTGACATTTTTGGCATGTACCGAACTCAAGTAGGGCTTTTCACTGTCAAAAGATATGGGTGTTCATGGGTCTTCGTTGATTCGAAAAAAGTGTACATTGGAAAATCACTCCTATATTTAAGCATTTTGGGTGTTCGTTGGTGCTCGTAGAATAAGCTCACCGAGCTCTATCTACTAGTGGTATCACTTTCCGATTTGGCAGTGTTCGCTTGTTTGACGAATACCCATTATCTTTTAGTGGATAATAAAGAATCCTGTATGTTTATTTCATTTATAGAATATATATGGATGAGAAAAATATTTATGAAGAACAAAGTTGAAAAACAGAAAGAATTTAAACGAACAACTCAAATTGAATCATGAATATGTTTCTTATCAACTTTTTTGGAAATGTGATAAGGTAAGTGAAGAGAATACCCCGACATAAATCTTGCTATGCCTTAACGATTGATCCATAGCATCATGTTCATTTTAGTAATCGAGTGTTTATGTTTCAATTTTTGACGATAGCAATTTTAGGCATCAGAACTTTCATAAGAATAAAAATTTCGACATTAGTTGCATAAATCTAGTTGAAGAATCATCATTTATCACAGAAATGTAAAGCTTTGTTTCTAATATCAGACCATATAGAGAAAAGTTTCTTTCAGCTCTTTATTACAAATTAAAATATCGTTGTTACTACTTTTGGCATGCCCTCTGTTGTTTTTTACAATTTATACGAATATATTATTAGATTTTGGGGCATGAGTTTATGGTTACATTCCTAAGAACCATGGCTTCTTATTCCTCAAAGCTTGCCCATGTCACAAAAACCGGATCAGTTTTAGCGGTAAACCATGGTTAACCGCCCGTTTTTGCCAGGTTTTCATTATATGGGTGGATATCCCTAGTTACAATATAACATTTTGTGCAAGATTGAAGTATTGAAATAGATGTGGTCTTTTCTTGAAAAAAAAAGAGTTTCCTTAGATTAAAATTCAAAGGATTTAATATGATGAATGAGATAAAGGAAAAAAATTTGTTTAAATCATAAAATAATCAAGATGTTTTATTCTTTCTACAAAACTTATAATATTGTAAGATTCTATTCTTTGCACTGAAAAATAAAAGATTTCATATTTTGTGAATTAAATGCTAGATACTTCGCCGAATATTCATATTATTTTATTTGATATTAATCGATAATTATAAAAAAAACTAGTGTAATTCATTGTTTTTTAATCATTTAGTTTAGATTCAAAAGTCATAGAAAGCTTAAGCTGCTTTTGTTGCAAATTTCTTTTGATTCTGTTTATCACTGTAATCGTTGATGAATCAATTTTATCTGCATAATAAACTCGATAAATATAGTAATTTGATGGATGTTGAAGAAGATATTCAACTTCACCAATAGATACTGAAAATGTATTTTGATCATAGGATCGAGTTGTTTTAACTTCAATAAATTCTTCTCGATGATTTTCTGTCTTAATAATCATATGAATATCATAAGGTCCACCTGATTCTCCTTGTTGATTGATCCATTTAATCTCTTCATGAGGATATTTCCATTTAAGATAACGAAAAACGAATTCTTCACCTTGACGACCTGTAATGAGATCAGCTTCAGTACCAATAGAACGAGATGAATTTGTCATGGATAGTTCATCAATTGAAGAAGACGTGCTTTGATCTATATTTGTCAGATTCGAAACAACAATACGTTCGAAATTAGCAGGTGGTAACGAAGTAACATCCGAAAAAACCATGGGAGCACGTTGTTGAATAAATTGACCTTTGGATGACTGTATCTCATCTTTATTTGATTCGTTGTTGCTCGAATTTACTGCGAAAAAAATAATATTCAATCGGTTGTTCCAATTCAATATATATATATTGAGCCAAATCATTCGCTAGTAACATGTTGGAATACGAATATTCAAACAACAAAAATGCTCTTATGACTCATATAGAGATGTTCAAAACCCATTTGTAATTGGTACGAATTCTTCTTTAGAATCTCTAAAAAACCGATTTTTAAGGAAAAGTGTTTTCGAGTTCAATCTTGCTGAAAAGTTCATTCTAGATGCAGTTCGTGCTATAGAGACTATCCTAGAGTTTTTAGTTTGTTTTCTCCTATTGTTAGAAAGATATTTGCTAATTAGTTGTAATTAATTAATAATCATCTGAAAGAACGCACATTTTCCTATATGTCTGTGCTAAAAGAAATTAATCCGAAAAACCCTTGTAAAGAATCCGAGTTAAATGAAAGATGGATATGTGCCGTTTTGTTTGAAATGGCTCATATATATGCATTATATATGTTTCTCACCGTCAGTATGTTGGGTAATTATGCCCGTGGGTACTACATATTCGTTATCCTGTTGATCATGCTGTTGTGGAGCTCGATGGCTTTGATCATTCGAATGTGATTTTGATGATGCATTTTCTCCTTCAGCTGAATTATGTGGTTTTGTTTGTGTTGGTACTTTTGAAAGTCTTTTTTCAGAGATTTCATTCGATTCGATAGCGCCAGCTCGTGCAGGAAAACTGGTTAGGTGATTGGTATTTTCTTTGTTTGTTACTTTTTTTGACGCAAGCTTTGGTCGAGCAGAAGGCTCCTCCATCAATCGTTCAATTTCCTCATATGTAACCTCAGGCTTCTCGTGCTGTATTGATGGTGGAATCGGAACATTGATTTTTATTTCCTTTGGAATAATCCATTTAGGTTCATAATTCTTTGTCCATTTTTCTCGTAACTTATCTAGACCATCTTCACCATCGGTCTGATATCTTTGTAGAATCTTTTTGATACATGACGAAAGTTGTAATCGAGTCGTCTCGTCGTTTTCAACAATAAAATCAACCATAGCATCGATATAACGCATTTCAGATGTTTCATATTTTTTTAGGATATAAAATTTGCCTGATTCTTCATCAATATAAGTATCTCTACTGTACGATGTTGATGATGATTTAATTATATTAGACCCATAACAATGTGATAAATGTATACGATCAACACAAACAAAATGCATGCGAGCAAATACAGACGATAAATAAGTGGATCGAGTAGTCGATATAATGTCTTTGCTTAAAAGAAAATATTGAATAAGATCAATAGAACAACTGTAGAAATCAGTTAGATTTGTTGATGATTGTTCATTTTCAACATCAACTTTAGTTTGAATGATTTTATCAAGATTTTCAATAGAAAAAAGCGAACGGAATTGTTCTTGAAAATTAGTATCAATACCAAAACCTAAAAATAATAATGACATTAATTAAATATTCAATTTGTTCAGATTACCGGGTAATTTAATAATTGATAAAATATCTGAAAACAGATTGGCAATGTCTATATCATGTGGATAATAGGGATGATCGGTATATTTTACTAATTTTTGTTTATCACCCATGCATGGAATGAATGCAACATCAAGACATTTTTCTGTATGGAAAAAAAGAAAATATTTCTTTTGAATTTTTTGTTTTTAAAAAAACATTTTCTTTACCTCGAACGTCATTTTGTTTGTTCTGTTCTATGGCTAATTTTGTGATTATTTCAATTATCTGCCAAATCTTATTAATATCTTGCTCAGTTGATAATAATGGTAAATAATCATCCACTGTTGGATGTAATTCAACATGAAGTATTTTAAGAAAGAATGAATTTAAAATAGAATCGTCATTATAATAGGATCTTATAGGAATACGACCATTTGAATCTGCAATTGTATCTTGTAATGACAAAAGAGATATTGGATCATTCCAAAAAGTCTGTTGAACGAATAAGAAATCACCAGTAGTTTGATTTCGTGGAATAAATATGATTGGCCATAAACAAAAACGACTGAGAAGAGTACAAGTTTCATTGTTTGACGCAAGAAAACTATAGATTTGACGAAAATTTTCAATCGTGTCAAGACATGATTGACGAAATCCATTTGGAAGGGTGCAAGGAATACTAAAATAAAAGCCGTATATTTAATGCATAATGTTTGCCCTGCGAAAACATTTTTCGTTCTTAAGAAACTGATTTCAATGATATTATGCTGATAGATATCACATAATGTTCTAATAAAAACTCTACAAGAATTCGGATTCCTGTAATAAATATTTGACTTATCTATCGAATTTATAGTATTTGTATTTGCTAGAAACCCGTGTAGGTTTTCAGATTTTTTGGAAAACTCATATTTCCAGATATTGAACTGATATTTTGTGAATGTAAAGAAATCAACTAGACTAGTTTCCATTAAACAATACAGAAAGTTTGAACAAAATCTCTTTGAAATATGAAGCTGTCAAAAATGCATGTGATATATGCTATCTATGAGAAAGAGTCTAGACCTGAATGGAAACCGATACCCTTTTAGAGTTTGTATTAGAATATTATGTAGTACCTATAGGGAAAATATCATTGAAATCAAAAGGAGCTACATGAAGAGGGTCTCTCATTAGTTATTAGAGTATTTCCTAGACATCAAACATGTTATATGTCTGTATTAATTAAATGTCATCTATGTGAAATATATATAAATTTAAAAAGCCTATGTGTCAGACTTTTTTGCACATATATTTTCTTTCAACTATTGCATAAAGTCAATTCGATGACCTGTTAGTAATATTATACTATAATATAACCTTTAGTGTCCTCAAACCATAATTCGAGTATTGTGGTAAAATAATAAAAATTCGTTTCAGAAAAAGTCGTTACACAAATCATTCCTCAACCTAAATTCGAGACCAATGGACAATAGTTTAATAATTTTATTTTTTAAAATTTGTAGAATTCTCTATCCAACTGTTGTACTATATACTTACGTATCCAAAGTATTTGCCTGATTGACTAGGTTCCATAATGATTCACTATCAAGATTGCACGACCATTTCATAAGTAACTCGAACATAGTTCGATGTTCAACTTGCGATTTTATACCAAGAATATTATAGATAAAATCTACATCATTTAACGATACTTTTGATTCATCTAAATGAGATATATATTGTCGAAAAACTGATGTCTGACTATTAGCTGGTAATAAATATACATCGCCAGGTTTAAGTAACGTATCACCATAAACGGGAATCCATGCATGTTGCTGTACTGACATACAAAATGAAGATTTTATACCTTTTATTGGTGTATGATGACCGAATTTATGTGCACGAGTCAGCATCACCGAACCTGCATAATAGTTAGAGATATGTTTATGATGACGATCTAAATATCGAAGTAACTGAACACATAAATCGAGATCAATTGTTTGACTTTCGTCAGATGGTGATACAAGTTTATTGAACTCATCACAACAATAATCTTGTATTATAAATGGTTCATGAACCATTTCAATTAACTGTGGAATTAAATAGACCCATTTAGTACCGGCAAGTTGTTGAACATCGATAAAAGCTAATGCAGAAGAATAGAGATTTATTAATAAATTAATTTTAATGGTATACTCACATTTTTCATCCACGTTTACGAGTAGAGAGTCGCTTATATTGAGGCCCTCAAGAAATTTGGCAAAAAAACGTATATCATGGTCACTATGAAATAATCCGATACGGCACAACTCATTATAATAATCATCGGAAATGAAAAGAAATTGATATTTGGATAAATTTAACGATTCAAGTGAATTTCTAGAACCATACGTTGATGTTAAATGAACAATAACATCAGGCGAGCCTAATGAAACAAATTTATTATCACGTGTTTTAATAATCATTTTATTTTGTAATGTTTTTAATTCATTTTCAAATATATCAGGATTAGGTAAGTAGAGGTATTCATAAATACATAAAAGATATGCAACTAATATTGATTCTGATTTTGTAGACCAACCAGTTGGATTTGCCATAATTGGTAACATATGTTGACGATATATTTCTCGAATATTATATTCCTTGCTGATACCTATATAAACAAAAGAATAAACAAGAAAGAATATTTGTCAATGCTTACCAAGATTTAAAAGTAGACGTCGAATTGAATCAACCCGTCGTGGATATTTATCTTCAATAAAATTAAGTAATTGTTCATCAAGTGTAGGAATATCATCAAGAACAAGTTTAAGATGTTTTGAAAACGGAGTTGATTTGTTTGGTGGAAATGAGATAGTATGTTTGTCAAATTCATCAACAGATACTAAACGTGAATGATCTTTTAGTGGAATAATTTTCAACTTTTTGAGTTTAGTAATTGTGTCATTTTCACGTTCTTTATAATTCATTTCTTCTCGTTGTTGTTGAAGACTATAGTCGAGACATACAAGCCATTGAGCAACTAAAATGACATTATCAATAAAAGATTACAGTACATTTGATAATTTTCTTTTCTCGTGAAAAAAATAATCTACTATTTATTTCAAACTATAATATGTTCCACTATATTTTGAATAACTTTTTAGAGGACTGCTCAAATATTTTTCTTTCAGTCCATGCAAGGCCAACATTCTTAGGGAGTTCCATTGGAGAGTTATAAAACTTTTCCTGAGACTCCAGAAGTCTCTATGACATTCGTATTAAAAATTTATCCAAAAAGTAATGAAGCATGGTATATTTTGGAATGGATAGTAGTTCGAATCTCTAAAACTTACTCTGTTCTATACTTGATGTTGTTTTAAGATGTTGTTGTTCATTTTGTTTATATGATGCTTCAATAAGTCGTGTAATATCTGAAAAATCAAGTTGACGACAGCCTAATTTCAATAGAATTTGTTCATCACATTCATGGACTAATTGTTCATGAACATAATAACTATTGAAATGAGATAATAATAAATCTTGTGACAGAATCTTTCGAATAAATTCATCTCGTACAATAACACATTGAGAAGGTGAAACCCAATTGATAGCTATGTCTTCGTTTTCATTTTGATGTGAAACTGGTAACTTAATAATACCCATTAATAATTGAATACTTTTATCGACAAATGTATTAAAAAACGGTTTTGATTCATTTTGTAGAGGAACAAATTTAAGAAAATATTTGATTATTTGTATTGGTGTTATTTGACAATTAAGTTGTGTATGTATGGAAGATGATGTAAGTAAATCAGGAAGATGTTGGAATTCACAATAAGCTAAAGAAAGAAGACAAGTCATTTCTGATTTGAGCCATTCATTCCATAGATTATCATGAAGAATTTCTTGACGATTTGCTGGAACTTCAAAATCAGCTTGCAGAATAAAACGAAACCCATATGAACAAAGTGGTAAATATGCAAAAATAGGCTGAGTTGGTGGAAATGATGATACAGAATCTTGAATACCATTGAGCGGATAAGCAATAGCAATGATTGTTGAATCAACATCGCCTTTTACATCACGTAATTTTTTCTGAAATAAAAATTCATATGAACATATTTCAAGAAGTGTGAAATTTGTTTGTTTTTGTTACCTTAATATGAGCAGGTACTTCAATTTCTTTTTTGACTACAAGCCATAAATTACTAATGATGGCTCCATTCATAATCTTTTCTTGTAATTCTATAATTTGTCCTTGAACATGATCAGTTCTAGTGAAAATTCGGTTATTATTATTAAGTGGAGAACTATCATGTTGATTTATGATTTCAATTTGTCGTAAGCGATTAAGAAAGAGTAAAAAAATTGATTCTATTTTCTTAAAATTTTCTTTCAGTCGAGCATCTTGTGCTTCTTTTTTAATTGGTAGACGAATGCATGTTGCCCATTCATCAACATTTGGCAATTCCTCTTCGTACTGATCTATCCATATTGGCAATGTATATCCGATTTGTTGAGTTCCATTAACAGTATCAAAACGTAAGTGATAATTACGAGAATGAATTTCTGGTCGATGGGATATCATGAAAACTGATTTAAAGCCAATACCTTTATGACCAGCATAACCTTGTTTATGTTTTCCTTTAGTTGAAGCACCGACATTACAGATTGCTGAAATGTTACAAGGTTGAAATCCTATTTCATTGTTACACACAAGTATTCGTTCGGATGAGAGAATAAAACGCAGAGTAGGCACACAATCTAATGTATATTGATTGTCATCAGCATTTTGAATAAGTTCTAATACGAAATGACCTTGTTCCAAGTAGAGATCATTAGATAATCTTTCTAAACTTCGTTCAATCATGCCTAGAAGATTAGTGATTATTGATTGACTAGTCGGATCAAGACCGCTATCAACACCAAAACCTCGACGAATTGATTCGATGTGTTCAAATGCAGCTTGAACTGAATCATTTGTATCACCGATATGGGCCGCAATTGAAGAAGTATGAGTAATAGAAGTTACATTAGTTGTCACAATCGCAAGTGATTCAGTAGCAATTGTCGTCATTAGAGCAGCGTTGGCTTAAAAATAAACCGGTACTGATAAATAGTATTAACCTATATAGCTCTATTCCATGAAAAGAGATAGAAAACTGCAAAAGTGCAGGGTATGTACCAACCAAAAATTAAAAATAATTCGTTATTGCGGAGTGAGATCAGAAAGATTTCTTAAAAATATAAATTGTTTCGAATTTATTCTCCTTACATCTCCAGATCTTCGAAATTTCGTTGATTTGGCTGTGAATTAGATGTCGATTAAAAAATTTCTATCAACTACATTGATAGAGTATGTTCGTCTATGTCATATTCGTAACTTTTATATGATGTGTCAGGTAATAATTGCTTGATTAATGTCTGGCACAGCTTGCGCTACTGTATCAGGATCTCAGATCTTTGAAGGAACAACATTCCCAGAGAGTCCTGGGTATAGGCATGGGTTATAAAGAAAACTCAGCCACATACAAAACACGATAGTCAGCTGATACAATCAAGTCTCTTGTTTATCTTGGTGAGGAACCAGTTCATGATGGAGGAAAAGAAAAGAAACGACAATGATGTTTCCAAACTAGACTTGTCACACTCATTGCCAGATGAGTATTATCTTATGCTTTCTTTGTCTTTTGTTTTCATATTATTCTCGCTTATATTAGAAAACAGCGAGAATATGAGCTATGATATATATACTCTAGCAAGATTAGCTTCAGCGCTCACATTTGTCTTATTTTAAAATTGTCTCGTAGTAATTTGCGAAAGTTCAACTTATTTTCACCAACACGCCACGTAGTTGGTCCCGATGCCAATCAAGTCTAGATCCGAAAAATTTTGATCCGACAGACTCTACTCCTGGTGTTCGTCAAGTGGCGAAATTCGGGCTACATACAGCCGCCTCGTGCTACTTTTCAGAGAGAGATACAACTGTACTTAAAATTTAAATTTTCGTGTTTAACAAGAATATTTCTCATCAAATACACTCAAAGGTAATATCAATTAATAATACATATAAAGCAAAGATTTTTTCAAAATAACCTACCAGCAGTAATATTTTGTTGTTGTTGGATGAATTCATTTTCTGATTTTAGAATAGATTTTTCTTCCAATTCTTCACCTCCTGACCACTTTTTTTCATTTTTCCATTCGACAATATTTAATGTATGACCCCATAATTCTAATTTTATTCTTTGTTGTACATTTGCTATATCCCATAGTCTTGTTCGTACATTAATTGGATTGTCGGAAATATCATCGAACACCTTATCAAGTGGTACAAGAATAAGTTCTTCAATAATTCTGGATTGACCAATAAGTATTGGTAAATACATTAAAAAATCAAGTATATGTTGAATTGGATCGATATGATCATTCTGTAATGTAGCCAAAGATCTAAGATGACGGAACCAAGTATCCATAGATGTTCGATAAACATTAATTGGAAATCGTGTGATTAAACCTTCTTCAATAATTAATGCACATAGATGTCCAACAGCTGAACGAATATGCGTTGCGTTGAGTTCATGTTCAAATGTAGCAAGACTGGCATCAATAGGTAAACGGTATACTTCTCCAGTTGATGCTTCTAGTAAGCGAAGATCTTTGAACTTACGTTCATGCTTAGTAATAAATGATTTGAAAGTACCATATTTTGGTTGAAAAAAATTTAACCATTGAAGCCATGTGTATAGATTAGTCATCAATGGAGAATAAAGTATTAATTGACATAATTGAGTTTCATTAACATTCAATGATATTGGACACATATCTAATTGATTTAAACCATTTATATCTAATAACGATTCTTCAAAGCTAGAATCAAATAATGTATTTAATTTATATTATCAAATAGAAATAGAAATACTTTTTACCGAATAATTGTGTGTTTATTTTTGCGAAATCGTTTTCTAGCTTTCTTTATTATTTGATTTCCTTTACGAAAATTAATTGATTCGCCAAATTTATGTTTAACTGCTTTTTCTACTGCAGATAATGTTTCTGTACTTATATGAACTTGTTCAGTGTTTACATGCCCATGAATGAATGCTACAGATTGTGATTGATATTCTCCTCTTACTTCATCATTATTGATAATACTTAATTGTTGAACAAATGAATACAATTCTGTGCGATCGTCTGTTGATGTTGTTTGTTCATAAACAGATAATTCTTCATGTGGATCAATTATTTCATGGTATTTATTTAGAAATGAAATAAAATTTGCAGAACTATCATCATTATCGTTCTCATCATAGGTAAATGCAGAAAAGTTAGTAACACCATATTGTGTACAAAGATCTTCATCAATTTTGAGAAGTTGTTTGATTGTGAGTAGCGTATCATAATGAACCAAATAAGCATAAATATCAGAGCAAAGCTGTTTGAGACATACTGGTGTTTTAGGTTTATGTCGATGAGATGTTAACAACGAACTTGAGAAAGATGTACTGAGTGGAGTAACGAATTTTGTGTTTGTTGTTGGCTAAAATTGAACATTTATAAAAGTTCATTATCATTTCATTAAGAAATAAAAGACTTATATACAATGAAAAATAAACCAACCTATCTTAAGTTGTGTTTTGACTGATGAAGGAACTCTTCGAGCTCATAATCACCATTTGAGCTCATATTGAGTTCAAAAAGCGATCTCAGTAAGATAAGAAAGCTCCTACAAGGGTTCACATATAAGGGTCTCTAGAGCTTAGTTACTGAGCTTTCGATTCAGGTTTAGGCATATTTATTGAAAAATTAAATAACAGTATTTCGACCGATCATTTTGTCTACAACCACATTTAATGACTTGTAGAAAGTCTTAAAGTTTTAGCCAAAAATATGCTACTTTGTCGAGATACTGAACTTCGTAAAAATGATCTTTTACTATAGATATTATACAAAAATCAAGTTTACTTAAAAATTCAATATCTTGGCAAAGGAACATGCTTCTTGGCTGAAACTTTCAGGACATTATATTAGTCATTCATCCTGTTTATGGCCGAAATTTAAGGTCAACATACAGTTATGTGGTTTTTCCGTAAATATCTAAAGCTAGATCGAAAATTTAGTTAAATGGTCATAATTCGATTCCAGAGGCTGATTGGCACGAGGTCTTTTAGGATTTTGCATGTCTTACAGAGATCTCTTTTTGAACCCACGATGATCTCGAACATCGAATAATAATTCAGATAGTGCCCTCATGAGATGGGTTGTATAAAAACAAAATATTCATCAAATAGAAGAATTTCAAGTAATGAAAAAAAAATGATTTTCTCATTAAACTATGTATGCTCATTTTCTTGATTATTAAAATTTGTACCAACATACAGTGACTACAAGAATGGATCATTCAGAATCAGTTTCGATTTTTTTTCGGTAATTTGGTAACTGGTTTTTGAAATCACACTGAGAGCTTTATTTTCTTTATATCTTTTATAGAAAAGAAATTTTCCAATCTAAGTTCCTATTTCGATTCTTTATGCTAGTTACCACATTACGAGAAAAAACCGAAATTAAATCTATATGATCAACTTTGGAAGCCACTGTATGCTTGATATACATTTAGATTTAGTCTTCACTGGAAAAATGAGTAGCTATACTCAAAAAAAAAGAAGAGATGAAAGTACTTTATTGCTATAATAGTTGTCTAAACCTATTATCTAAAAAATATTACTCTGACAAATGCATGACGGATCAAATCACTGAGGAAATTTGAGATTTTCATCTCACGTATTCGCCTCATCATTTATATTATCAACAAATGTTACTTATGAATATGGTAAAGCTTACTATTTGTTCATCGATGCCTATATTTGAATACTCCATTTGTGATTGCTGTTGCTGAATCATGCGATTCATCATTCGGCGGTCTTTTTTGCTCATTGTTTCAGTCATCATAGATAATTGCTGCATCATCATTGTTTCTTGTGCGGACGGAATTCTCTCTTGATGATCATAAAGTTTTTTAAGTTCTGCAATAAATGTTTCCGGCTTATCGATAGTGCCTAGATAAATGCTTACGTTAAATAAACATCTTAACAATTCATCATCACGAAGTTGTGTTAGCATTGCAAAGAGTATTGATTGTTGAGGTATGAAATTCAAATACTTATCCACAATTGATATGAGATAATTGAATACAGCAGTCGGTGTTTTTTTCTTATTAAATGATGAAAGTTCTAATTCATCATGCATTTTTTCTTTGAATTCAGTCAAATGTGTACGAACATCCTCAATAAGATCGTTTTTTGATTGTTCTTTTGCTTGCTGCATGTGCGACTCTTGATCTCGTCGTAGAGTATTGGTCACCTATGAAGAAAGAAAGAATTTTAACAGCTAATACAATGGGTATCATTAAGGTCTAAATTACCTGCACTAGATATGGAAATGACTTGCAAAAAAGGCCTAATTCTTCACGTGATTGAAGGTTATGTTCTTCTACGAGATGATCGATAAATGCATCAAATGGAATTAATCGCTGATGTCGATGTGCTTTTTGAAAGTCGATGAAACTTTTAATAACTTGCCCAGTGGTTATTTCAGGAATGGATTGATCAGGATTAGTTGGTTGATAATTAAATATTCGTTGCACTTCTGGATTTTTCTCGAGTGGACCTAATCGAAGATCGTCGTATTTTTCCACTTCCAAGAATCTAGCAAGAAGTGATTCTAGATCATTTAGTGTACATAAATTAAATATCTGTTCAAAAACATGCATGTAAAACGTCACACTCTTTTGTCGATCAGTAAGTTTCATAAATGCATCAAACCTTGATGCTTGAACTCTTAAATCATACCAAGAGTTAACTTTATAATAATGAAATAATTCCCATTGCACTCGTTCACGCGATACAAATTCTTTGCTTTTCTGAATCATTAAAATAATCTCACATATTTTTTTATAAATTTCATTTTCACGGGCTGTCAAAGGTTGTGGTGGCGGTGTTGACGATAATAAATTGTTATCTAAGAACGGAATAAAAGGAATTCATATGCTAGTTTCCTTCATTCAAATAGATTTGATCCAATATGAAGACATTTACCTGTAGTTATGGTCGAATTCATAACGACTGATTCCATCATCGTTTCTGATGTTGATATATTATTTGGTGAGGTCGATACTAATTGTTTTGATTTAGTTGCTGGGATTTTTTCTCTCGCACTGGATCTTTTGACAATTGTAGTTTGTAATGGTAATTGAGTAGATGGCATTAGTGGCTGCAAATTATGGCTGATCATCCTAATTTCTGATTGCCAATTATTGTCTAAAAAAAACAAAGGAAAACATTAAAAAAACTTTTCATCAAAAACATGATTACTTGGTGCAAATGGTTGTTGTACATGTATACTTGATATCATGGGCTGCTCCTAATACAAATTTCAAGTGATACATTAAATAAAATATTAATAATAAGATGAATACTTTAGTCAGAGATAAAGCAGCAGCAGCAGCAGTTTGTTGAGGTGTTGATATATTAAATGCTGAGAGACCTGTGTGAAAAGAAGGTGGTTCCATTCTAAATTGTTCACTATTTACTGTTGTTGTTGTCTGAGTTGGATTTTGCTTGGGTTTTCGTTTCTTAATAGAATTTTTATTATTTTGTTGGTTGTTGGGCGGAGTTGCATTGTCCATGTTAGACAATAACGTCTGAAAAAAACGATCAAATGAAAACAACAAACGAGAAAGTGAAAGTCGACGGCTTATCTGAAGTGTTGTTTTTTGTTAGTCACCTTTGTGGGAAAAATGCCCAGTGATGACTCACACTCTATTAGATGTTGGCGACAAAAATAACACCATATTATATAATGAGGCTATTTTCATAAAACGAAAGTAGTTGATGTGAGTTTTAAGTCATTATAATATTGTCTTTCATAATTTGATATAATTTTACAGACCTCTGAATTATCATGAACAAAAACAAACAAAATTCACGCAATTCTCAGCTACAAAGGAAATTGAATGTTCAAAAGTTTAATATCATATATAAAAATCTCTATCTATGATTGTTCCATGATGATGTGATATTCGATGATGAGTATGATAGAAAATGAATGGTTATAGTATATGGTTTCAATAAATCTCTCTTGGCCTTCTTTTTATAATACAGAACGAAATTCAAAACAGTCAAAAATTGATTTTGATCTAAGGAGAGAACCTGCCAAATTGTCAAATCATCTCTCGATCAAGACAATGTTCATTTGATGAGTGTTAGAGGGTAATAAAAAAGTCTAGAATGGTTTGGGTCTTTCTTCCAGGAATATAGAAAATTTACTGGGCTTTTCAACAAAAAAATTTTTTTAGTTGATTGTGCTGCCAGCATTTACTTTCTGGAAATGTAAATATACGAACAAAATTTGCTTTTAAATTATAAGAGAGCTTTGAATACTCGATATCTTAGGATAGGAGAAAATACTCTAATGAATGTAATGAATTCGAGGCACCCGAAAAAGAACCTTGCTACTAGCATGCCACACGAACTTTATGGTACTGAAGTACTCTAAAGAACTTTTCGATACTTGTGTAGTACTGAGATGGGTAGTCTGCTGAAGCCGTATCTAGTAAATAAGTACCTCAAGGTACTGGTCAGATACTCACTTGGATATTAGTGCGCAGTACTTCTAGGCACTCTGCTAGAAAAGTCTCAGTATGCTCGGTATCAAACCTGCCTCTGACTTTTTTCGCATTGCGCTTTCCTACTGCACTAATTCTCAGAAGTAAAAATCTTATGATTTATTATTTTAGTTTTCTTTTTATGAAAAACATCACGAATGTGTCTTCTTGAGGCAGTAGTATAAAAAAATTCATAAAGATGTAGAAATTTCGACATTGTTGTTTCGATATATCAGATTATATATAATTCAGAACGATTGAAGATAAATCTGAAATTAGAAAATAGTAGCTAAATAGGAAAAGTTACACTTGTCGAATCATGCTATTGAATAAATCTTTCGATGAATAATAAGTCAATAATTTACAACAGTTTAACGAAACAATTAACTAAAATTACAAAAACTTGATAATTATCCCATAGGAATTATCCATTGATAATGAATTATCAGCATACCTTGTACACTGATAATTTACATCGCTTTTAGAATATAATTCATCGAAATCAGCAGTACCGTCTTCAAACTGCCATGATGTATAAGTAGCATTGTTTCGTTACTCTAAAGCCGGACTCCTGGTTCAAAACTTAGCTTATGTGCATGATTATCCATTAATCAATAATGAAATTTTATCGAATTAATTATATCATATTTCTATAGAACGCATCAGAATCAAAAATTTTAACAATATTTCTGAAAAAATAGAATAGCTCAAAATAAGATAATATTCATATTTCTCAATATAAATTTGATATTCCAGTTTGATAAGGAAAACTTCGGAAGAAATGCATTAAAAATCTGAAAAAAGGGAAAGGTATCAATTTATTTTTCTCCTGTAGCAATAAACTCTTCCGCTTTGTTAGATAGTGTCAATTAATAAAATAGTGATTAAATACTTATATTTCGTGGAACACCATAGCTGTGCTAATTTGTATTATCACTTTAAAATTCTCTCCATATTTATTACAATAAAAATAAATAAATCAGAACGCTTTTGACTATTTCTCTATCAATAAATGGCAATCATCTTTATTAGTAAAAATTGTCAGGCACCATTACATACGAACCAACGCCTCAATTTGTTTAATTTATGTCTGAACATCAAAAATATCTTCATGCAAAAGCTAATATAAACAATCTGAAATGTCTTTGGATTCATAGCAATCGATTTAGCTAATGTGCATTGCTGTGTTTTTGCAATACACTGCATCATATAGAGACTATTAAGGTACTCTAATTGATTTTCGTCAGTATATTGAGTTGTATATGTACCCATTCAAATTCTTCCTCAGTACGTGTACCGTTATGACTACTTTAAAAAGTATCTAAATCAGTGTAATTACTAGGAATTTTGAAATAAGGTTAAAACTGATTCAATGCTCTGATTTTATTGATAACTTTGTTCCTGCAAACTTTGAATTCGAAACTCGAAGGTCGATTTTCCACGTAATCGAAAGCGGACTGTAGCTTTTTTTTTGAAAAACTCAGTGAATTTTCGATATTTCAAGAACGAAGGACCGAAAAATCAATTTATTCTAAACTTTTTGTATAATCCATTAGTACTCGTCAAATGAATATCATCTAGGTCGAAAAGCAATTTGATATCTGGAGAGATTCCTTCATGAATAGAAGCTCGTATATGATGCATACTGTCAATGTATGTAATTATGTTATTATTGTTAAATTTTATTTTACTATTCTTTCATTAAAAGAGACTCATTGTTTGCATACAATATTCATTTCGTATTTTCCAATAAAAAAGAAACATGAAATTTATTGTTGATCAAGTTATAAACTGGTTTCTTGATGAAATCTCTTGAAAGATAAGCAGGTCTTCAAAATTCGTTCGAAACATCTCAGTATTCACATGTATATTTAGTCATAAGAACAGAAACATTTTCGAAAATTTTCTACACCATCTATCGGGTAGAGCGTTTGACACTGATGATGTTGGCAAAAAATTGTATTTCGCTTAAGGGTACTGTTTCACTTTAGTGTATTTTATCATTTTTACTCTAACTTCGTCATTTTGAATGAAAAATTGAGGCTTTTCACTAAAATGATCAGCATCAAAGGTTCTATATAGTAAGTGATGCAGAAAATTGTCGAAGACTGCTGCTTTTATGGCTGAGTGCTCATGAGAATACCAGGATGTTCCTAGACAAGGGTCTGGATCTTTTACAATTTACATACTCAAGTCTCGATTTTTACTTGGGCAAAGATGTATTTTGGTCACTTCCAATCTCATCAGCACGAAAAAAAAATCGAAAAAAAACTTTTCTTCATAAAGTGGAATTTTTCTCATACATTCATTCAAATACGATTCAATTAAAATCATTCGCAGCAAAATTGTATTTATTTATAAGAAAAATCAACTATTTGTCGTTGAAATATCCATAAAAGACTAATAACTTAATCTAGGAATCCAACGGTGACGATACATTGATCTTATGTGCAGCTTTGCAGTGATCTAAACATGTATATATAACCTTACGGCGCACGCATAATAACACTATAGTTGTCTTGAATTAATTTCGATTTATTCGATCGGGAAAGCCATTTAAAAAAACTAGCTGAATTTTATGGACTAAAAATTTTCAGGATCCAGAAATCCAAATCTTTAGGAGGTTTATCGAGTTCAATTTTCTCATTCGAAAAAGACTTAGTTCTTACAGTTCAATAATGTTCTATAAAACTTAGCTATTTTTTTTTGAAATAGATCTCCTGCGATCGAAAAAATCTAAAATTACTGTAGTTTTATCATGTGTTCATCGTTCTTCTATATATGCATCTCTAGTCAAGTCGAGTTAAATGCCTCATAAATCTTTTCTCGATAACATTTATAATGAATTTAGAAAAGAACTTGTGAAATATTCAAAACAGATACATTTCTAATTTGATAATTTTAGACAAGCTGTTTCTTGGTTGAAATATAATGTCGATCGGTTACTTAAAAAGATAATAGAGCTCAATTTGATAATTAGTTAAAATTTTATTGTCAGTAATTTATTAGAAAAACACCGTTATTACAATACACACTTTTCTCTCTTTTGTTTCACTACATATTATACATATTATCTATGTACATGAGGATAGATATACATGTCTGTATTTTGTATATGATTACCACATCGACAAGTAGAAGTAGGTACAAAAAGTGTTTCATTATTGCAATAACGCATAATATTATTATCTGTTGTTATTGATGTTTGATCTTGTTGATTCGAAAGTAGACATTGTTGTAAGTGTTGTAATTCAGATGGAGAAGAATGTGTGATACAATCTCGACGATCAGGTGTATTTTGAGTTGGATAAAGTAATCGATTAGCCCATACAAGAATAGCAGCACATTGATGTTGTTGTGAAGTTGGTGTTGAATAACCTGTTGTTGTTGTTGTTGTTGTAGCATATTGATAGTCATGTGTATTTGTTGTTGGCGTATGAATTACATGACTTGTTGGATGACAACAAAAATGATGACGAAATGTTGTTGTTGGATGTGGTGGTAGAGCTGGAGCTTTGGAAACATTTGACTTTTTTTCATTGTATAAAAATGGTTGTTCACTATCTGATGATAGTGATGGTAATTGTTCATAGAGGCTATCATTGGTTCCTATAATACCATGATTATCAGTAGTTTTAGTCAATGGTTGATGCAATCTCGTATGATAATAATAATGATGAGAACGTTGACGTCGAAGTTCAGCCGTTAAATGACGACGAAGTTTACGTCGACAAATAGCCAATGTAATCAGTAACATAAGAAACAGTAAAACAAATAATAGAAGAAAAAAGAGAATTATAATAAGAGTTTGTTTATGTTGAATAAATGGTACATGTCGAATAACAGTCAATGCAGTAGACGGTATAAATGTAGTACATTCTCGTTGATATATAGATGAAATAAATTGAAATTGAGAATTATGTGTTGGACGATTCGTAGTAGGCATTAAAATAGATAAAAGTGTAGTACTTGATGGTGTTACTGGAGAAAAAAAAATAAAACATTAATTGAACAATATAGAA